CCGGTGGCCACTGTGCAAACCACATGGATTTTCAGCTTCCCTTTCTGTGGCCCCAACAGGGTGAACCACTTCTTCTGTGACAGTCCCCCTGTCATTGCACTGGTCTGTGCTGATACCTCTCTGTTTGAACTGGAGGCTCTGACAGCCACAGTCCTGTTCATCCTCTTCCCTTTCTTGCTGATCCTGGGGTCCTATGTTCGCATCCTCTCCACTATCTTCAGGATGCCCTCAGCTGAGGGGAAACGCAAGGCCTTCTCCACCTGTTCCTCCCACCTCCTGGTTGTCTCCCTTTTCTACAGCACTGCCATCCTCACATACTTCCGACCTCGGTCCAGCACCTCTCCTGAGAGCAAGAAGCTGCTGTCCCTCTCCTACACCGTGGTGACTCCCATGTTGAACCCCATCATCTACAGCTTAAGAAATAGTGAAGTGAAGGCTGCACTGAAGCGGGTCACCCACAGGACCCTGGGCCCAAAGAAACTGTGACTGGTTTAGATGGAAACTGAAGGGGTAGAATGCAAGGACAAAAGAAAGAAAACAGTTTTGCTCATTGGATAGAGCATCAACCCATTGACTGAAGGGCCCCGGATTCAATTCCAGTCAAGAACATGTACCTTGGTTGCAGGCTCAAGCCCCAGAGCACATGCGGGAGGCAACCAATCAATGTGTCTTTCTCACATGGATGTTTCCCTCTCTCTGTTTCTCCCTTTCCCTTCCACTCTCTCCGAAAATCAATGGAAAAATATCCTTAAGTGAAGATTAACCAAAGGAAGAAAGGAAGGAAGGAAGGAAGGAAGGAAGGAAGGAAGGAAGGAAGGAAGGAAGGAAGGGAGGGAGGGAGGGAGGGAGGGAGGGAGGGAGGAAGGAAGGAAGGAAGGAAGGAAGGAAGGAAGGAAGGAAGGAAGGAAGGAAGGAAGGAAGGAAGGAAGGAAGGGAGGAAAACAGAGTTCTCAAATAGTTTTTTGGACTCCGCTCTTTTCAGGAGCCACAGTATACCCACTGGGATCTTAGACTTTCCACTGGGATCCATTTACGAAAAGAACTTGAGTGGTGGAAGAAGAAACTGCAGTACGCTCAGGGTTCTATAGGACTGTGATATCAATGTCTCTGAAGATGCCACTAGTTTACACGGATTAGGCACCCATCTGAAGGTTGACAACTTCACTAAAATTTGCTCTTTTTCATTTGCTTTAACTTTTTTAGTTGTGTTTTAACTTTTTCTTTAACTTCTTCATCCATGTCATGTTATAATTTTCTGCTTTACTTTCTTCTGTTTGTCCAAAAACTCTACCAGCAACTTTTAAGGACATTTTTGTTTATAAGGTAAAGTAATAATAATAAATAGTAGAGTTCTGTTTCATTCTTTTTCTTTCCCCCAGCAAATTGTTATGCAGTACTCAGCATGTGTTCGACCCTGTTTAGGCCCAAAAGACATGTTGGTGAACAAAACAGATAAATGTGTTGTCTCACGAAACTTATAATTGGGAGAGAACAAAAAGATACTCTAAAACTCTGCTGGTTTATAAAGTACACATGTTTAAAGTGCTAGCAATTGAGTACTAATAAATCTTCCTCTGCTTCTATAATTGGTCTGTGCTTCATCTGGAGAAAGACAATTCCACACTACTGCCTCAATCAAATTATCCACCTTGGATATGAGAGTTGGTTGACCTAAAGGGTTTAAGGAATCACCAGTCAAGTATAAGTGAACAAATTTGAGGAAACTGCTGGGAATAACCCAGAGTTTCTTTGTTTTCTATATTTTGGGGGTAATCTTACTGTGATTGAATGAAGTCAACTGTCCCTTCTAAGCTTGCATATCACTCAACCAATGTAGCAGCCATTCTATGATTTTGTCCAGTGAACATTGCCCAACTCTATATTCTTGGCAAATAACAGAATTGAGACATGGACACCATAGCTTTGTGTAATCTATTCATAAGAATGTATTGATGCCGAAACCGGTTTGGCTCAGTGGATAGAGCGTTGGCCTGCGGACTGAAAGGTCCCAGGTTCGATTCCGGTCAAGGGCATGTACCTGGGTTGCGGGCACATCCCCAGTGGGAGATGTGCAGGAGGCAGCTGATCGATGTTTCTCGCTCATCGATGTTTCTAACTCTCTATCTCTCTCCCTTCCTCTCTGTAAAAAATCAATAAAATATATTTAAAAAAAAAAATAGCACTTATTGCATAAGCAAGACCTCTTCACAAAACCTAAAACATGTGGAATGTAGTCCAGAAACTCATTAAAATAACTTAGAATCCCAATATTAGAGCTTTCTCCCCCTCACATTGCATAATTTTTATTATGGCAATTAAATGTTGTATTATAATAATTTCTTGAGTATCTGCTTTATTTATCAGACTTTGAGGTTCTTGAAGGAGGATTCTATGTACTTTTCGCCTTCGCATTCTTCACTCCCCAAGTTCCTGATTCAATGGATGTTTGTAGAATGGCTAACTGAGAAAAGTGGCTAGATTATGTTTTCTGTGTGGTTCTCAGAATAAATTGTAATTATCTGATTTATTTACAAAAAAAAACAAAAACAAAAAAAAACCTAAAACAACTATAACTCTGTGTGCCATGGAAGTACCAGGACCAGATCAATCTGCCACACAAGGTGTCCTTTAGCTCACATGTATCAAGGGCTCCAGGAGGGCAGCACATTCTGAATATCACCATAGGAGTTTGCAAATAAAAAGGCAGATTGCAGGGTTCTATTTGCATGATGGCAATCACACAACTAAGCAGATTGGTGCCCTTATAAATTTGTCATCTCCAAGTTTAGCCAAGCTTTTATCACTGCCTCACATTCATTTTACTTGAACTTTATATGGTAGGTAGAATAATGGGTCCACAAAGATGTCCATGTCCTAGTCCCCTATCCGTTACCTTACATACCGTACATTGTCTTTGTAGATGTGATTACATTAAGGGTATTCCCATGGGGAGGTTAGCCTGTATTTTTTTTTTTAATACAGTAACGGGAAATCAGAAGGTGGGTCGAGAATGACCTTGAAACATTTATTCCTATCACTTCCTCAACCTCTTATACCTAAGTCCATGTGTCCTGCCCGATGGCCTTCTATACACAGCTACCCTCTACAAGTTCTAGTTGCCTCCTCCTGGTCCTTCAGGCCCAGGATTTGTAATAGCTTCTCACTCTTGCTTCCCTCAGATGTCACAATTTCTTTTTGGTTTTCAAAACCCCATCTTTACCTTATAAAGGTGTGTCCTAATAGATTACAGTACTCAACTCTCTAATGAGAGCATGAGAAGTATAGCAGAGCTCATAAATTCTGCTTCATTGTGCCCATGCTCTACCCATCTCAAACATATACAAAGATGGGGAAAAGTAAAAAGTAGGTTTATAAGTACTACAAATAAATAATACAATAAATAAATAATAATGAATAAACTCCATTTCTTGTATTCACAACTGTAAACCTACTTTTGCCCTCCCCCATATGTACATGCACACGTAGGTATGCTGTGGAATTGGCACAGAAGACGGGACAGCTGAACACTCGGAGGTATCAGGAAAGAGAACCTTTATTCAAAGCAGTGCTGCTGGTTCGGGGGATTCAAAAATCCAAAGCCTGCACAACTTACACAATGAGATTTCTCCTTATATATTAGTATATTCCTGAGTTTCTTTGTTTTCTAACTACTGGGCTTCTGTGGTGGACTTTCACAGCCCCTCCTGAGTCAGTTAGAATGGGGAATTTAGATTGTATCTGAATGCCTAACCTGGATGGCGAGATGACCCCCCTCTAGCTAAGCTGTTACATCCTTGGTTTATGGCCCTTGTAAATTGGGAGTATTTAAGTAAATAAGTCTTGCAAGACCTAGATAATTAAGGAAGGGGCAGTGACTTGATTATAGGCTAACAGAAATGTGCATTAGGATACTAATTAGCTAGGTACAGAGTCAGGCTGCCAGCCCCTCTACATTCTTTCACAGGTACAAGTGCACAAGTGCATGGACACATACAAGTAGCACCTAGTTCATAGTAAATGATTAAGTAATGTTTGTTTAATTTATTGATTATTCGATGAGGCACAGAAATATCAAAATGTAAAAGTATTGGAGTAGGTTCTGGGATAAGATAAATATTAATATATAGCATAATTTTAGATTTTACAGGTTCTGTAACCAGACAAACAATGGGTCCGTGCTGCCTGTCACTACTTGAGCCAAATAAACAGAGACAGGGTTGAATCATATATGAGCATTTATTCCAATACTGCCAGCAGTATGGGAGAGCAGCAGATTAGCCACAAAAATCTGCTCTGCAGCTCCCCATAAGCCAACTGTTTATATAGGTAGAACTACAAAGGAAGAGTAGGCAAAAGGGAAGTTTACAAATATGCAAAAAGGACTAGGGGTCTTCAGAGGGTTTAGTGATATGCAAGGGCTTGGGTTACATGCGGAATTAGCCAAAGGAAGTGCCAGATGGGCAGTTAACAGGTGAGCAGGCTGGAGGTTTGCAAAGGCCTGCAGGTGTGCAAAAAGGGCTGGGGATCTTCAAGGGCTGGCGATTGTGGTTTCTGCAGCATAATTGTTCATCTTCCCATGATAATCGGCAGCTCCAAATGGGGAGGAAGGGCTGCATCTCCAGGTCAGCTCCAGCCAGGGTAGTACGTGCCTTCTTTAACCAGAATAAAACAGTCATTGTTAACAAAGCATGATTAATATTTCTTACAATACTAGCTGGTTCCCCAAATTCTATTGCTGCCCCCTTTCAGTTCCATGGTTTATAAAAATGCGGATATTTCTCAGAGGAGTTCCTAACTCTTAGATGCTAAAAAACTAACCAGAAGGAAGGCCCTCCTTCTTATTGCTCCATGAATTACTGTCCTTCTTCTACAGAGGAAGTGCTGGGTGAAGGATGGAGGGTGGGTCCCTGGATAAGGCCCAAGGATGAGACTCATACCATGTTCTAGTCTTGCTAAGGAAACTACTCAGCAAATCTTTCAAATAGAGAACCAGCAGGGTCTCACTGCCAGTGGCAAACTCCAAGTCTGCACGGGAGATTCCTTGTGGTCATTTTCCTCAGAGCTCCCTTCACATCCTTGTTCCTCAGGCTGTAGATGAGGGGATTAAGCATGGGGGTGACCATTGTGTAGAACACAGACACCAGTTTTTTCAGTTCTTTGGAAGACTTTGGTGTCATGTAGGTGACAATTGCTGACCCATAAAAAAGGATGACCACAATGAGGTGGGAGCCACAGGTAGAGAATGCCTTGAGCCGCCCTGCTGCTGACTTCATCCTGACCACAGTCACTATGATGTGGCCATAGGATACCAGAATTAGGGAAACAGGCATGAGGAGAATCACAACCCCCATGAGGAAAATGGCCATCTCTGAAGTCCGGGCATCTGTGGTTGCTAGGATCAACAGTGCAGGTGCCTCACAAAAGAAATGAGCAATACTATTGCTGCCTCTATAGGGTAGCCTTAGGGTGAAGGTGGCATCCACCACAGATACCAGAATGCCACTGGCCCATGATCCCACAGCTAGCTGGGCACACACCTTCCAAGTCATGATGGTGGGGTAATGCATAGGGTTACAGATGGCCACATACCGGTCATAGGACATCACTGCCAGAAGGGCACACTGTGTACCCCCCAAAATCAAGAAGAATAGAAGCTGAGCTGCACAACGTGTGAATGAAATGGCTTTTTTCCTGGATAGCAGGTGGACTAGCGCCTGGGGAACGATGTTGGTAGAGAAACAGAGGTCAGCCAGAGATAAATTGCAGAGAAAAAAATACATGGGTGTGTGAAGCCGGGCGTCAACCTGAACAAGGGTCAGGAGAAGCACATTTCCAAGCACAGTGACCAGATAGACACCCAGGAATAAGATGAAGAGCAGCTGCTGGGTGTGCGGGTCATCAGAGAGTCCCAGGAGGAAGAATTCTGTCACCTGTGTCTGATTTGTCTGTCTCATGGTTTGTCTCTTTTTTCAGTATCAAGTCACTACACGCTAAACAGGTGTGTGTCACCTATAAAATTATGTAAGTCAGAGTTGGTGTGTGTAACCTATAAAATATATAATTAAATGTTGCCTCCAATCACTACCAACCATTTCAAGAATCCCCTTTATAAGGTTTTTAGAAGATGGTCATGCTGCTTTACTTGGAACATTTCAATTTTGCAAGACTTAATACTTTATAAGTTGGTGCGTTCATTGTTAGTGTCATCTGGCAAGTGTAGACTAGATCCAAAATCATCTTCTTTATTCTGAATGTCAGATATCTAATAATAAAAAGACAGATTAAATTCATGTGTAAAGTCATGCAATTTAATTTCACTTTGTTATTAACTAAAGCAGGGGTCCTCAAACTTTTTAAACAGGGGGCCAGTTCACTGTCCCTCAGACTGTTGGAGGGCCGGACTATAGTTTAAAAAAAAAAAAAACTATGAACAAATTCCAATGCACACTGCACATATCTTATTTTGAAGTAAAAAAACAAAACGGGAACAAATACAGTATTTGTATTTGCATGTGGCCCGCGGGCCATAGTTTGAGGACCCCTGAACTAAAGCCTTTGAGTCTTGTGTTGCTCTTGCCACACCTTTCCCATCTCATGTTGGTGCAAATATTTTTAAGTCTGGATATACAACTGTTTCTGTTGTCTCCTTCTTGAATGGGTGGTCACGAAGGCATAAGAAATCAGAGCGAAAGTACCCTGCAGAACTGACTTTTGTCTTTGAGAAAATGACCCATTCTGAAGGAGCTGGGAAACCAAGAAGTAACTCTGAATAGTGTGCCATAATCTCTTTGGAATTTCTTTCCTCACCTTCAGCTAGAGCTCCCAAATATCAGTGAACTTCCAAAATAACAGACACACCATCATGACATAATTTCCATGCTAAGCCAACAGCATGGCTATTTTTCAGACTACCTGGCACTGATCTGCAACCTCCAGCCCATCATCTCTCCCTGCCTGATGTTATCAGTCTACTCCTCCCAGAAATGACAAACTCCTTTGAAAGTTGTTTCTATGTCTTTCATTTTTGTGTACTTTATTAGACATAACATAGAGCTTTGTTCAATAAATTATCATTAATTAAATAAATCAAATAAAAAGTTGTTTAAAGAGCCTGCCTAAAAATTAAGAATTTGGGAATAATAATAAAATATCATAGGGCTTCTCCAACAAGAGTAAAGGAAATTTAATTTAAAGTCTAAATTTTAAGGCTCTACATGAGGGCTATCAACTATTTATCTTTCTGATAAAATACTTCAAATTATGTTTAAATACATAAAATGCATACATACATACACATGCACATACATATAAAAATAGAATGTATAGGATTGTAAGGAAACCATTACATCGAAACATAGTCAAAATAGTTTTAGAAAACAAATCTGTGATATAATAATACATGTGCTTCTTGAAATCATTAAATTTTTTAAATGTTGTGATGGATCCAATAACCACCTTAATTTAAAAATTATGAACTTAAATGATATTTTGAGATATCTTCAACAACTGCAATGTGATATAAATGTACCTCTGATTTCCATTGGTGATGAAGCCATGGATACCACAATGCTGGATACGATAAAACAAGAAAGAAATTTTAGATTCACTTTAATGTAAATAGCATTCACAGCTAAATTAAAGAATTCCCTGAATTTCAAGTTACGAACTATTAGGCTCATGGAATTGCCAGGAATTTTCTCAAAAAAAGACACAGTTACACTCTATATAATCTGAAATGGAGTCTTCGGCATTTGGATGGGTCTGTGAGTCAAACTGATGAAAGATTTCAATTTATCATTGAAATAATAAATGAATAAATAAAAAGTTAATATGAACAATCACATCTCTGCATAGTGTTAGCATCATTTTCATTGAACATACATCACACTTTGAATATTCAGTCACCTTATTTGTTGAGTAAATGTATTTGGCCAAGCATTTCCTTAAGATACAAACAAAAGACCTAGCTTCTGAGGCCAAAGACTCTCAGATAGGAAGGACCAAACTATAGTCACAGTTTATCCCCAGTGCCAGTGTGTTCTCTGGAACATCATAGATTCCCAGCAAATATTGGTTTAATGAATGAATGTACTGGACCAAGTGAGTCTGTTTGATCTAACAATTACAAATAAAAGTAAGATAGAATTGTGTCTAGTGGGAAATATAGTCTATTTTTAAATAGCTGATATAAAAATAAATTTTGAGAACACAAGTAATTTTAAGATAGGTACTTTTGGTATTAGTATCCACCTAGTGGAAGGTACTGTCTGGTTAGTTCGTAAAGTCTCCAGGTTATGGTTCAGCTCAGGTGCCTTAGATTTACTTCTCCTGCCACAGCTCATACCCTTCCCAGAGTAGAATTTAGTGCAATAGTATCAATTATTTGTCTATACCTCAGAGAAAATTAAATGGTAAGCAAATAATGGTCCTCGCTTTTGATGAAAAGATATAGAGGATAACATTAAACACTTGTCCCAAAGTTCTAAGTGATGCCCAAGTTGGTGGTTAACTTAGTGGAAGGGCAACTACACGATATTGCTGATTTCTAAGCCTTCTTACCCATTCCCCACTCCCACCTATCTACAACACATGTAGAAATAAACACACACAAGTACACACATTCACAAAAAGCAAATATATCCTAGACACATAAATGTATTTACAGCAAGATGTGCTTACCTCCATCATAGCTCTTAACAAATTATGTTGAAATTATTTTCGTTCTCTGTCACTATAAGATATTCAAGAGCAGCAACCATACCTCACTCATCTTTATTCACAACAAATATGATAAATCATGGCATGGAATAAGTGTCTAGAACACGTTTTTGAGCTGATTTGACCTGAACCAAAATAGCAGAAGACAGTGAATGAGTCAAAGATAAGTGTGACTTGTGACCTGTCAGATGGCAGGAATGCTCACTGACCCTGGGAGTACAATATTAGAAGACTACATCCCTGACTGCTCCCAATTTGTTTTTTTAAAGCATGTTATTCTCCCATGCGAATGTGAAGGATAAAATGCTCCCTGGGCAACCTCAGGGTCAGGAAGCTTCTCCAAGAGAACCATGTCTGCTGTCAGTATTTCGTGTTATTCTCTGTCTTCCAGATATAACATTAAATTTTAAGTGCATTTCTCTAAAAATGGCACGTATTATTTGATGTGGAATGGGATGGTAAGGTCACAGAGCCAAGCATTGTCTAATTGGCATTTCTTTTAGAAAGAGGATACTGAGGAAATCCATAGGAACCAAGAGAACATATGAAATTTCTCTTCAGATTCCAAAATCTTTCATCCTCAAAATCACCTACCCCCTACCTTCCGTGTCCATGTACTTTAATGTCTCCACAGCCCCACACACACATAAGAATTCACACCCAGAGGACCAATAATGACTCCATGGAAGCTCTGCTTATGTCTCCATCAGGTGAAGACCATGGTTTGATAAGATAGATCTGCTGTGGGGAAAAAACCTTGGCTAGATTTATTACAGAAGATTTATCCCGAAGAATCACATTGTTTGGACAAATTAGTTGAATTAAAAAAATCAAATCTATGAAGGGATTGAAACCAATTCACTCCCAGTATATGCCAAGTTATCCTCTTTGTTCAACTCGTGCCTAGTCTTTCCCTCCCTCCAATACACTTACCAACATTTTCTCATACCTTGGAGAAAAACGTTCAAACCAGCAAAGACATCTCACAGTTGAGGGGGAAACTGCTGCAGGTGCAGCAAGTGCATTGGCTGCAGAAGGGGCAGAGCGGAGACTGGGAGCATCTTGTTATGAAGTCAAAGGGCTCAGTAACATCAAGGACAAGGCAGGAGGGGAATCCCCACATTCCCCATGTCCAGAGGTCTTAGCATTGACTTCAGGGCAACAATAGTTCCATTTAAGTGAGCAGAGGAATACATGAGCAGTCTCTGGAGCAGGTATCGTGCTCAGGAGAATTCTGAATCATTAGGGTGCATCCTGAGCTGCATTTCCTCTCAGAAGGTTCCCAAATGGTTGTGAGGACAGATGTCAGCACTCACATCTGCATTTGGGGGAGAATGTAGATGCAAACAATGTAGAGTTAATTTATTCCACAGGTGTATTTTAAAAGAATACAGCATGATCAAATATGACTTATCTCTGGGATGCTAATATTTCAACAACAGAAACCCAACGAAGAAATTCACAAATTATTACACTGAAAAATAAAATCAGACAAGAATCTCAGTGATGTAGAAAACACATGTGTTAAGAAAAAAAGGAGAAACCAAGATGGCGGCATAGGTTAACGCCGGAGATTGCTGCCTTGAACAACCACTTCAGAGATATAACTAAAGGACCGAACGGACTTCATCCAGAACCACAGGAAGGCTGGCTGAGTGGAAATTCTACAACTAGGAGGAAAGAGAATATCATACCCAGACTCAGAGGAGGCGCAGTGCTGAAGTGACATACTCAGGTGCGGAGTGCGCACGCGGAGCGGGCTGGCGGTGGAGGGCGAGGTTGTTGTTTTCAATTGGGAGGGAGTTTCAGACTCTGAGCTCCAGATCCGGGCGAGTCTTTAGGGACCCAGACTCAAACGGGAGAAGCGAGACCGTCTGGCTTCGGTCAGAACTCGAAGGCAGCTTTCTCTCCGAGGTTTGCAGCGGTTGCTGGGACTCTGAGAGGCAGAGACTCTGCGGACTGGACTGAGAGCAGCCATAACTGCTTGTTCTGCCCGCCATGTAGATCCCCAGGGACCCGCCCCGCCCAAGCCCTGCGCAGAGCCATTTGCCAGATAGCCTCCGGCAAAGGCTAGATTAGCACCGCCCTAGAGATCCAGCACAGAAGCTCTCCCACTGCAGACACAGCTGACTCTCATAGCCAGTTAGCCTGGAGGTCAAATCACCCCTGGTATTGCTAACAATCAAGGCTTAACTACAACAAGACTGCCCACAAAGACCACTAGGGGGTGCACCAA